TGGACCTTTTTTTTCAGTACTTTTTAATGGAAGAAGTTGACCAAAAATCTGTCACAGAATTTTGAGACCCATGAAGATAAAGTTTAATGAGAGAAAAAATAGTTTCTCTTTTTTGTTGTTGTTCGTCTATTTATTTATTTAAGTAATCTCTACCCCCACCATGGGGCTCGAGCTCATGACCCCAAGATCAAGAGTCGCATGCTCTCCTGACTGAGCCAGCCAGGTGTCCTGAGAAAAAATAGTTTCAGATTAGATTTCCCCCTTTAGGCCCAATCCCAGGAGAAAGGAGGAGAGCCTTTAGAGGGGAACCTAGTTGTGAAGTGCATGTGCCCAGCCCTCCTTCACCCCCAGGCAGTGGCACAGACTGACCCAAGTGCACCTGTCTTCAGAGGCCTCATCTTGAGGAGCCCAGTAAGAGCAAGCAGGCCCAACTCACATGCTCAAGGGCTCCAACATGCCCAGTCCTGGGTGGAAAGAGCAAGCTGTTGCCTTACACTTGTCAAAAAGGAAGGAGGGGGGGGATTTCTGAGTCTTGTCCTCAATTCCAGGTTCCTCACAGGGAAAGAGAGAAGCAGGAGACGTTGTCACAGACTGGCACTTCCTTGGGTCACTGACGGAGGGCTTGCTTTCTCCCCTCCATTTGTCCTGTTGTGTATATCACAGGAGCACAGTGGCAAGAGTGGCCACAGTCAGCAAGGCTCGATGAGGAAGAAGCGGATGACGGCAGAAGAGGGCAGAAGTCGCACAAGAAAAGATGCAAGGTAGAAAGAAGCCTGTTTTCCCAGATGTAGGCAAGGTTGGAATGTGACTGGGAATTGGGGCAGGGCCTGGCTTTTCAGGCTCTCCTGGAGAGTGTGGATTCAGTCCCAGAGGCTGGGGAGCCTTGGGATGTTTTTGAGACAGAGGGAGGCATTGTCCACAGAGGGTTTCAGGGTTCAAATTCAGGCTGTCTAAGAATGTGGGGTGTGAAGGCCTCTTGGGAGGTACTCTGTGTGGCCCATCTCACCTGCCACCCAAGTGTAATATGGAGGCTTCTCTGTTACTCAGAGATTGTAAATCAGTTTCCTGATCACCCAAGCCTCATGCTCTGTTTCCTTCTCGTGGGACTTGAGAACAAAAATCTCACCCAGGTTGTGGCTAAGTGGGGTCCATGTCTGGCCAGGAGCATGGGAAGCCAGCAGGGAGTCCATCCAGAGACATGCTCACCAGCTCAGGCTGGCTCCTCAGCTTTGCAGACTCTGGCTCAACGCTGTGCTGAGGCACTCCCTATATTCCGGAAGTAGCCGCAGAAGAGCACAGAACTGGGGCACAAATGTGGGTCCTGCTGGAGCCTGTTGCTGCTAGGACCGCACCCCTCTTTGTACACAAGGTTCAAGGGAAGCTGGGGGAGCAGGGAGTCGGACCTTAGGAAGTGGGTCTTAGGGTTCAACTTTCAGTGGCTCTGAGCACTGACAGTGCTGTCTCCACCTCAACAACAAGGATCAAGTCACACATGTGGTCACTGCTCTTGACGGCCCAGCCACAGTGGCCCTGGGACAGAGCCTGGATGTCTGCACACGTCTGGCTCTTTGTCTTCTTTCCTCTGAGGTGTGGAATCTAAGCTGAACATAGGTTTCCTCAGACCTTCTCTAATGAGTGATCAGGTTTCCCCTTTACTAAATTAAAATTACATTCTCTTGTCCTCTTGGGCAATAAGTTTAGGGTTGAGGACGGTTTAGAATGACTCCAAACTATTCAGAAACAGTCTCTTGTTCTGTCCCCACAGACGACCAACTATACCCACTGTGAAAGTCTGGGGCTTCGGGGATGGGGATCAGACGGACGTGGGTTCACTTATGTAGTCAAGATCCTTTGTGTAACCCCTGTCTTCTCACCTGTAAATGGTGATATTAATACCTACCTGGTGCGGGCGCCTGGGTGGCTCAGTTGGTTAAGTGACTGCCTTCGGCTCAGGTCACGATCCTGGAGTCCCGGGATCGAGTCCCGCATCGGGCTCCCTGCTCGGCAGGGAGTCTGCTTCTCCCTCTGACCCTCCCCCCTCTCATGTGCTCTCTCTCATTCTCTCTCTCTCAAATAAATAAATAAATAAAATCTTTAAAAAAAAATACCTACCTGGTGCATGTGGGGCGCCTGGCACCACTTGGCACATTGCGGGTACTCAATGAATGGCTGGTGCTGTCACCGTCACGGGTGCACTTTACCAGGTTAGAGCCCAAAGGGCAACATTATCTTTGTGAGTGCTGAGTGCTGAGGAGGCAAGGTTCCTTAAGTCAGTGATGAGACCCAGGCTCTGACGTGTAGCTTCTGAGTCGTGCTGTGGGTTCCGTCTTCTACCACAACCACGCAGAAGTACGCACAGAGGCCTACTTTTCCTACCAGAAGTAAAGTTCTGTTTTCTCATTCTTCATGGACCCCAGTAGGCCTCAGCAACATTAGGGTCCTGGTGGCTTCCCTCCACGAGGGTCTCTATGGAAGCAGCCCCATGGCTCTAAGGCCATTGCCACCGAGGACCACCCCAACAGTCCTCAGACCCCCAGATGCCACTTTCTTCAACTGCTCAGACCTTAAGAAGCCACAGGGCTCCAGGGCCTCTTCTCACTCAACAGTCTTTTTGGGTGACCTGTGTGTTCCGGCGGCACCAGAGGCGTCAGTACGCACCCCCCACCCCAGTTATGCCGCAACCCAGACTCTCCTGCCCCCCGCAGGTCGCGGCTCGGAGCGGCGGATGAGCCCCCGGCGTTTCACACTGGGAGCTGGGTTCCTCGCCTGCCCCTCCTGAGGGCTCCTTCTCTCGGTACCTTCGTGGGCCGAGTCGCTCAAGTCAGACAATCTGAGGACTCGTTACCCGAGTCTTCCTCGGCCACCCGCTTCAGCAGCAACCACGGGGCTCTGTCCCTGCGACCTCCGCCGTCCTCCCACCTTTCCCGTCCCCTGCTTCCACCGCCTCCCGGGCCCTGGACGCCCGATCCGATCTCGTCACATGCTGGGGGGGCACCCCCAGCCCCCACACCGGCACCACCCACGGCAGCCACTCCCATCCCATCGGGACGAGCCCCTCACCTTCAGGAGCGCCGGCCGCCACGACGCTGGGGCAGGTGCAGTTATTTATGATCCGCGGGGAAGGGACGCGGCTGCTTTGTCCCTGCTGTATCTAGGACCGGGGCTGGCAAAGAAGGGCCTCTCCGCAACTCCTGAGTCAAGGATCGAAGCAAGAAAGTCAGGAGGCGCCACCTGGGACCCCCCCCCCCCGCCCCCCTCCGGCCACCCCCTCCGCCGTCCACCGCCGCCCCCCTCCGGCCACACCCCCCACTCCGTCCACCGCCGCCCCCCTCCGGCCACCACCACCCCCGCCCCCCTCCGGCCACCCCCCCCACCCCCGTCCACCGCCGCCCCCCTCCGGCCACCACCACCCCCGCCCCCCTCCGGCCACACCCCCCCAGCCCCGTCCACCGCCGCCCCCCTCCGGCCACCACCACCCCCGCCCCCCTCCGGCCACACCCCCCACCCCCGTCCACCGCCGCCCCCCTCCGGCCACACCCCCCACCCCCGTCCACCGCCGCCCCCCTCCGGCCACACCCCCCACCCCCGTCCACCGCCGCCCCCCTCCGGCCACACCCCCACCCCGTCCACCGCCGCCCCCCTCCGGCCACACCCCCAACCCCCGTCCACCGCCGCCCCCCTCCGGCCACACCCCCCACCCCGTCCACCGCCACCCCCCTCCGGCCACACCCCCCACCCCCGTCCACCGCCGCCCCCCTCCGGCCACCACCACCCCCGTCCCCCTCCGGCCACCCCCCACCCCGTCCACCGCCGCCCCCCTCCGGCCACCCCCCCCACCCCCGTCCACCGCCGCCCCCCTCCGGCCACACCCCCCACCCCCGTCCACCGCCGCCCCCCTCCGGCCACACCCCCCACCCCCGTCCACCGCCGCCCCCCTCCGGCCACACCCCCACCCCCGTCCACCGCCGCCCCCCTCCGGCCACACCCCCCACCCCCGTCCACCGCCGCCCCCCTCCGGCCACACCCCCCACCCCCGTCCACCGCCGCCCCCCTCCGGCCACCCCCCCAACCCCCGTCCACCGCCGCCCCCCTCCGGCCACCCCCCCCACCCCGTCCACCGCCGCCCCCCTCCGGCCACACCCCCCACCCCCGTCCACCGCCGCCCCCCTCCGGCCACCACCACCCCCGTCCCCCTCCGGCCACCCCCCACCCCGTCCACCGCCGCCCCCCTCCGGCCACCCCACCCCCGTCCCCCTCCGGCCACCCCCCCACCCCGTCCACCGCCGCCCCCCTCCGGCCACACCCCCACCCCCCCACCCCGTCCACCGCCGCCCCCCTCCGGCCACCACCACCCCCGTCCCCCTCCGGCCACACCCCCACCCCCCGTCCACCGCCGTCCCCCTCCCTGGAGATGGGCACCAACAGCTGCTTAAACATGACTCCTCAGTGCCCGCACAGTGGTGGTCATATTTGCATCTTTGTTCCTCTTCTTTCTTCCAGATTCCGTAATGGGGATTGAGAATGAACCATTACTGGGCGCCTGGGTGGCTCAGTTGGTTAGGCGACTGCCTTCGGCTCAGGTCATGATCCTGGAGTCCCGGGATCGAGTCCCGCGTCGGGCTCCCTGCTCGGCAGGGAGTCTGCTTCATCCTCTGACCCTCCCCCCTCTCATGTGTTCTCTCTCTCTCAAATAAATAAATAAATAAATAAAAAGAGAGAATGAACCATTACTTTTAAAGATTTCATACATAGCCGCCTGTGGAGTATTAGAAATACTCCTTCAGAATTTCCTGCCAAGACCTAAGGAAGATGAAGATGTATCAGACAACTGTCAGGAAAATGCCAAAGGGCTGCTTTGAGGAAATCCCTAACTTGGGAGAAAAGCTTTAGTGAAATGATCATGTCACAGGACAAACAATGTGTCAGAGTGACCAGGAATTTTATGACTTAGAAGAAAACTTCAGTGAGAAACATCCCAGAGAAGACAAAGCCCATAGATGTGATGAATGTGGCCAAAGCTTTAATACAATTCAGATCTTATTCTACACCAGCAAATTCATACTAGAAAAAAATCCCACAGGTGCCCTGAATGTGGGAAAGATTTTAGTCAAACTTTAAATTTTAGAGGTCAAAAAAAAAAAAAATTCACACTGGAGAAAAACCATATAAATGTAATAAATGTTTGAAAGCCTTTGTAGCTCATGCCTTACTTAACATCAGCTAATTCATAGTGAAGGGAACCTTTAGGGGTGTAATAAATATGGAAAAGCAGTCAGTCTTAACCCACAACTTAACACCAGAGAACTCACGCTGGAGAGAAGCCATTTAAGCATGAAGAATGTAGGAAACCCTGTGGTCATCTTCAGCATGGGAAAATTCATTCAGTAGAAGAATCTTATGGTTGTAAAGAATGTGGGAAAGCCTTCAGTCAGAAATCACAACTTATTCCATATCAAAGAATCATACTGGAGAGAAACCCTGTGAATGCAATGAATATGGAAATGCTTTCAATCAGAGATCGCTCTTTAGTAGACATCAGAGAATTCATGCCGGAGAGAGGCCTCACTCATGCAGAGTGTGGGGAAACCTTCACTCAAAATTTACATCTTGCTCGGGGCGCCTGGGTGGCTCAGTCGTTAGGCGTCTGCCTTCGGCTCAGGTCATGATCCCAGAGTCCTGTGATCGAGCCCCGCGTTGGGCTCCCTGCTCAGCGGAGAGCCTGGTTCTCCCTCTCCCACTCCCCCTGCTTGTGTTCCCTCTCTCGCTGTGTCTCTCTCCGTCAAATAAATAAATAAAATCTTAAAAAAAAAATTTACATCTTGCTCTACATTATTGACCTCACACTGGAGTGAAATCCTGCAAGGTAATGAATGTGGGAAATCCTTTAGTTGGGGCTCACATCTTATTCAACATCAGTGACTTAACACTGGAGAGAAGCCCAGTAAATGCAGTACGTGTGGGAAAGCCTTCATTCAAAACACACTGCATATTCAGCAACAAAGACAGGGGCAGACCCTATGTGTGTGGTGTGTGGAAAACCTTCAGCCAGAGCCCCCAACTTACACCACACTGGAGGGTTCACCCTGGAGAGGAACAGCGCAAATGTAATGAATGTAGAAAACCTTTATTCAGAGTTCATATCTTACTCTACATAAAATAAAATTCACCCTGATGTAAAAAGTTGTTGATGCATTACATGTGAATACCACTCATGTTTCAAACTTTATTAAATGTCACATTTATTCTAGACAGGAGCTGCACATACACAACAGATATGGGAAAGCCTATAGTTGGGAACCCCATGTTTTCTTATAGCTACACTTCATACTGGAGAGAAACCAAGACAATGTCACCATCAGATGTTGCATGCTTAAGAGATTATCGTTAATTTTGGAAATGCAGATAAGACTTCACCTGAAGCTCTCAGCCATTCCATGTCAGTCTTTACCTCACTGCAAAAATACTCAGAGTGTTGGAAAGATCTCAGGAAAATCTTGTTTTTACACTTAGAGGATTCAAAGTAGTTTGTATAAACCTTGTCTTATTGACAATTAACAGAGATTCAAGTTAAGCAGGTCTGGGACATCCTCCTGGAGACATAACATGGAAATTGATACAATGTGAACATTTTCTTTAAGGTTTATTTATTTATTTTAGAAAGAGAGCAAGAACACAAGCAGGAGAGGCGGGGGGGAGGGAGAGAGAATCTCAAGAAGAAACTGTGCTGAGTGTGGTGCCTAATGCGGGGCTCCATCCCAGGACCCTGAGATCATGACCTGAGCTGAAACCAAAAGTCAGACGCTCAACTGACTGAGCCACCCAGGCGCCCCGCAACGTGAGCATTCTAACGTATGACCTAAACACTGGTTGGTTGCTCCCAATAGCAAGCCAGGAGGGGTGGAAGTGGCAGCTCTATACCCCACAGAGGTAATTGGCAGGCCATCAGAAGGATGCCCTAGGCAATATGAGGAACTCTAGCCCAGGGAAATGTGGGCTCAGCATTCCAGGGAAGCCCAAGAGAAAAGGGGCCCTGAGTGTTGTCAAAAGAGTTGTCAGCATCAGGTGTATATAAGGCATTAACTGAGGAAGTCAGTTGAGAAGAACGAAACAGCTTCCATCCAAGTGGATGGGGTAAAGATGATAGGAAAACTTAGGTTCCTATGTTAGTTAAGGTGCTCCAGGAAGCAGGTGCCGAGATGAGAATAAACATGCAAGGATATTCCTAGGAGAAATATCTGTGTAAGAGAAAACAGGGAGGGAATCAGGACAATGCAAATTTTACCCAGAGTGAAAAAGAGAAGTTTGGGTGAAAGCATTCCAGGCTGCCAAGCAGTCTAAAGAAGGGTCAGCAAAGTTGTCAGGGAGTCCTTGAACCAAAGCCAGCTGTCAAAGGAGTCCCAGTCACCCCCAGACAGTGCCTACTGTTCCTGCGGCACTCAGTTGTCGGCAGGGAGTAGCCTGCAGGAATCATTGCCTCAGCACTGACACGGCACACTGAGCAATGAATTTTACGACCTTAGTTCCGTTTCCTACAGTGGGAGGTCTGCAAGGTGCCTTCTCATGACCATCACTGTCCACCCCTTGTACTCTGTAGTCGTTGCTATCAGTTCAGAGATCCATGCTCTCCAATGGTCTTTCTTCCTGAGATGAAACTCAGGTCAGTGGGATGAACAGACTCCCAGCACTGAAGTTGATCTCCCGGCAAAAAGCTCTCACTCTCCACGGGGCGCCTGGGTGGCTCAGTTGGTTAAGCAACTGCCTTCGGCTCAGGTCATGATCCTGGAGTCCCAGGATCGAGTCCCGCATCGGGCTCCCTGCTCAGCAGGGAGTCTGCTTCTCCCTCTCCCGCTGCCCCCTCTTGTGCTCTGTCTCTAAAATAAATAAATAAAATCTTTAAAAAAAAAAAAAAAAGCTCTCACTCTCCTCTCCATTATCCACTATAAAGTGCCCCCACCCTCTCTTGTCAACATGGTAGGTCTTGGCTCACCTGGTGATGTGATGCAAACCTTCATTCAGAAGGGTCTGAGCCCCTTACACTTGCACCCTTCTTAGCTGAGCTGCCATTGTGTTTGTTTACAATTCTTGTGGGGTGGAGGGAACCAGGAGATGCCCCCAAAAACAATCTGGGTCTAGACCCCGGGATCATGACCCGAGCCGAAGGCAGATGCTTAACCATCTGAGCCACCCAGGTGCCCGCACTTACACCCTTTTTAGCTGAGCTGCCATTGTGTTTGTTTACAATTCTTGTGGGATAGGGGGAACCAGGAGATGCCCCCAAAAACAATCTGGGTCTGGACGCATTCCTCCCTGCCTCCTTTGTATAACTGTAGCCCAGCCCCCTGGCGATCAGGATCCAATTACTCCTGCCAGTCAAAATTGCCCTGGCAGCAGTGATGGCTTGTTCAGCGGGACCCTTGCTGCATCCTCTTGGAGACCAGGGCATCCAATTCTGCAAAATCCATAACTGTGGGCTTCCGAAGTACAAAGCCCCAGTGGAAAATGGGGAGTTATGGTGAGTAGGACCACTCCTGCTTCAGCGCTTAGATTCCCAGACCCATGTGATCTTTACGTTGGAAGCACAAAGTATGATTTAATGCACGTGTCCCAAAGGATGGTGATTTCTCCAAACTTAGGCTTCACCTGACCTATTAGAAGGCCAGTCCAGTATTCTGTGAGGCCAGCTGCCTCTGGGTGATATGCTACAGGATACAACCACTGGGTCTCACACTTCCTTCACTGTGAAGTGGGTCCCCTATTTGGTTACCACACTAGGTGAGATTCCATGCCTGTGGATGAAGCAATCTGCAAGCCCCAGGTGGTACTGGCTGAGGTTGGGCAGGTAAGGAAAACTCATGCCTGGAATCGGTCTCCATCTCTTCCAGGATGGAAGCGGCCTGCCTGATGTAGTCAGGTTGTTTCCCACACGTTGGACAGAGGGGGCAGCTGCTAGACAGGCCCTGTCACAGGGGGAGGGCCCATTTCTGTTACCACAGTCACTTTCAGGTACCCACTTTATTGGCTCCAGAGTGGCTGGCTAATGTCCGGAGTTCTCTTGACTTCTTAGTTGTTTGGTGCCTCTTGTGTGGTGGATGCTTTCTGGTTCCGCTATAATACCCAAATCTGCACACCCCATGCCCACTCCCATGTCCTCTACCCCAGACCTCTTTGTTCCCAAGCCCTCTTTTCCTTCTAGGCCCCCGACCAGACAGCCAAGACCTGGCACTGCCCGGGAATCTGTATATTCTCACCACAAGCCACCTGGGTTTCGACACGGGCTGGATGAGCAGGTACATGGCACGCAGCCCCGCCCGTTGGTGACCTCCCCCCCTACTGGCTTTCAAGGCCACCCTGTGTGTGGCTGTAGCACACCTCCCCCTGCCCATTTTGACATGTGCCCACGTACTGAGCTGAGCCAGTTAGAAACCAAGTCCATTCGCTTCCTTCCTCCTTTAGCTGCTCACGCAGAAACCCCGATATGGTCATAGCTGCGAGCTGGGGGCGAGAGACATGGGAGCCTGGGCTACCTACCCACTCAGCTTACCTGTGTCCCCTGGCCCTATTTGGGCATCAGCCTGGATGTATCATTTCCACTTTACAATGGATTGCTGCTGGGCCTCCCTAACTTTATGCCTTTGTAGGCCTTACAGACCTCACCTCATAATGGGAAGGATATATGGACACATAGCCACTTGATGTCCCATAATCAGCGTTTTTTCTCCCCTACCAGGGTCCAGGAATATGCCAAGACCCGTTTCTCACATGGCATATAATTCTCTTCAGCAGATGGCACAGCCATGCTCCAAAATCTCAGGACTCTGTCATTCTGTCATTCTCCCCATATTTTCCAAATGCCTGCATCATTGCACTTCTCATGGCATTTCCTCCCACTGGGTAATTTGGCAAGGTCACCACAGGTGACATGCTTAGCAAATGAGTCACCATTTTGTGTCAGGGACCACCTATTAACCAGGACAGTGTCCTCCTCACCAGCCAGACAGTGGGCAAAGCAGTCCCAAATGTCTTCCTGATCACCCATGTATGGTTCATTTGTGTTAGTCTGGGTCCTCCAAGACGCAGACACCAAGACAGGATTAAATATTACAAAAGAGCTGTATGAGAGAAAATAGGGAGTCAGGGAAGTTGGGGAGAGCTATCAGACCACAATTCAAGTCTGATCAGAGAGAGAAGTTTGGGTGGAATCATCCCAGGCCTGTGCCATCCAAGCAAACTTATTTTTTTTTTTTTTAAAGATTTTACTTAGTCATTTGACGAGAGAGACACAGCGAGACAGGGAACCCAAGCAGGGGGAGTGGGAGAGGGAGAAGCAGGCTTCCCGCGGAGCAGGGAGCCCGATGCGGGGCTCGATCCCAGGACCCTGGGATCATGACCTGAGCCGAAGGCAGACGCTTAACGACTGAGCCACCCAGGCGCCCCCCCCAGGCAAACTTATTGAGACCAAGTCTGCCACCTTGGGATTCTGTGTATTCCAGGAATGGATCTGCCTTAGTGTCCCTGCCACGCTCAGTAGCTGGTGGGGACCAGCCCTGGGAGGTGTGGCCTCAGCACAAACATGTTAATAAGTTTCAGAGCTCAACCACGGAACCCTTAATTAATGACGTCCCTGTAGTTGCAGGTGTGTTACGAACATTCTCCTGGCCACCACGGTTGCCAAGCAAGATATCTGTTGCCTATTTGTGAGGAAAGGAAGAGCTCAGGGGTTCAGGAAGTTGCTAATGAAAATGTTTGCTAATGAAATTCTTGCTTCCCTTTTTCCTTCAGTCTGAAAGATACAAGTCAGGGGCAGTAATTGGGGGTCTGTGCACGGACATGTTTGGGAAGTACATGAAGGCCACATAAGAATGGCATTTCAGAGCAGGGCAGAGGGCAGCCTTGCAGTGTAGGTAATGATGGCCATGCCAGCCCCATGCAAACAAAGGGCATACTGGGGAAGTAGAGGCAGCTCCACAAGTGAAGGACTCAGTCCGACATCAGAGTCTGATTGCCAAGATCAGGTTGTTCTGAATAACTGGCTATAAGTCAAAGGCTCCACGACCCATCCTCAGCTTTGATGATTTGCTAGAGTGGCTCACAGAACTCAAGAAAACACTTTGCTGGGGCGCCTGGGTGGCTCAGGTGCCCAGTGGAGCAGGTGCACAGTGGAGTCTTTTTTTACGAGGGCACCTCGTTAAGCGTCTGCCTTCGGCTCAGGTCATGATCTCAGGGTCCTGGGATCGAGCTCCCTGCTCAGCAGGAAGCGTGCTTCTCCCTCTCCCACTCCCCCTGCTTGTGTTTCTCTCTCGCTGTGTCTCTCTCTGTCAAATAAATAAATAAAATCTTTTTAAAAATACTTAAAAAAAAAAAAAAGGAAAACACTTTGCTTACTAGATTACCCATTTATTCTAAGGAGTATAATCAGGAACAGCTAGATGGAAGAGATGCACAGGATGAGGAATGAGGATGGGGTCCTCTATGCCCTCTGAAGGTGTGATACTCTCCCCACCTCTCCAAGTACTCACCAACCCCGAAGTTCACTGAACCCCATATTTTGGGAATTTTTATGGAGGCTTCATCACATGGGCATGATCGATAATTATCTTATTTTCTAGTTCCTCTCCCCTCTCTGGAGGACAAGGGAGTAGGACTGAACATTCCAAGCTTCTACTCAGACCATTCAAGGGCACACTGAGAGTCACCTCACTAGAAAAAAAGACTCCACTGGGCACCTGGTGACTCAGTTAGTTGAACGTCCGACTCCTGGTTTTAGTTCAGGTCATGATCTCATCTCAGGCCGTGAGATTGAGCCCCAGGTTGGACTCCACACCCAGCCAGGATTCTGCTTGAGGATTCTCTCCCTCTACACCTCGCCCCACTTGTGTGCATGCTCTCTCTCTCAAATAAATAAATCTTTTAAAAAAGACACTCCTATCACCCAGGGAATTCCAAGGGTTTTAAGGGTCACTCCTTAAACTCCTATCACTTTGGACACCATCACTCAGACACTCCTATCACTTTGGAAATTACAAGGCATTCAGAAGCTTGGTGCTGAAGTGGAGTCAAAGACTAAATATTAGCAGGAACTCAGGTCAGAGACATATGTATGTGTTTCTTACTATTTCACATTGGGAAGACTGTGGACGTCTACATGCAAAAGAATGAAATTGGACCCTTATCTTACACCATATGCAAAAATCAACTCAAAATGGATTAAATATTTAAACATAAGACCCAAAACCATAAAACTCCTAGAAGAAAACATAGGGGAAAAGCTCCTTGACATTGATGAATTTTTGTATATGACACCAAAAGCATAAGCAAGGGAAGCAAAAGTAAACAAGTGGGACTACATCAAACTAAAAAGCTTCTGCACAGCAAAGGAAACCATCAACAAGTGACAAGGCAACCTGTGGAATGGGGGAGGGAATATTTGCAAACCACATACCTGATAAGGGGTTCAGATTTAAAATATGTGAGGGACTCATACAGCTCAACAGCAAACAAAGCAAACAAAACAAAAAAACCCCAAATAACTAGATTAAAAAATGGGCCAAGGGCCTGAAAAGGCATTTTTCCAAAGATGATATATAGATGACCAACAGGCACATGAAATGGTGTTCAACATCACTAATCAGGGAAATGCAAATCAAAACCTCAGAGTTATTAGGGTGGCTATTACTAAACAAACAAACAAACAAACAAAACCCCCCCAAAAACAAAAAAACACCCCAAAACCAACCAACCAACCAACCAACAAAAAACCCAGCGTATCTGGGTACCTCAGTTGGTTAAGCTTCTGACTCTTGGTTTCGGCTCAGGTCATGATCTTGTTTTGTGTGCTGTTGAGCTGTATGAGATCTCATGATCTCAGGGTCATGAGATTGAGCTCTGTGTCAGGGTCTGCACTTGACGCAGAGTGGGCTTGTCCCTGTCCCTCTGCTCCACCCCCGCCCCGCCCTGCTTGTGCTCTCTCTCTCTCTCTCTCTCAAATAAATAAATAAATAAATAAAATCTAAAAAAAAAAAAAAACCAAACAATTGTTGGCAAGGGTGTGGAGAAAAGAGAACCTTGTGCATTGTTGGCGGGAATGTAACTACAGCTGTTATGGAAAACAGTATGAAGATTCCCCCCAAAATTAAAAATCCCACTTTTGGGTATTTATCCAAAGGAATTGAAAGCAAGATCTCCAAGAAATATCTGCACTCCCATGTCCATTGCAGCATTGTTCACAATAGCCAAGATATGAAAGCAAACTGTGTGTCAACCAAGTGGATAAAGAAAATGTAACATATATTCACATATATATATACAAAGTATATGTGCTATATAGTTGTTTATATATAGTATATATATATTTATATATATACACATATACACACAATGGAATTTTATTCAGCTTCAAAAAAGAAGGAAATCTTGCCACGTGTTACAACATGAATGAACCTAGAGGACATTATGCTAAGTGAAATAAACCAGACACAGAAAGACAAATTCTGTATCATCTCCCTTATATGTGGAATCTAAAATAGCTAAACTCAGAAACAGAGATTAGAACTATGGTTGCAGGGGCGCCTGGGTGGCTCAGTCGGTTAAGCGACTGCCTTCGGCTCAGGTCACGATCCTGGAGTCCCGGGATCGAGTCCCGCATCGGGCTCCCTGCTCGGCAGGGAGTCTGCTTCTCCCTCTGACCCTCCTCCCTCTCATGCTCTCTGTCTCTCATTCTCTCTCTCTCAAATAAATAAATAAAATCTTAAAAAAAAAAAAAAAGAACTATGGTTGCCAGGGACTGGGGGAGGGAGAAATGGGGACATTATGGTAAAAGGGTACAAAGTTGCAGTTATGCAAGGTAAATAATTTCTAGAGATCCGCTATACAGTGTAGTGCCGATAGTCAACAATACTGTATCGTATACTTAAAATTTGCTAAGAGAGTAGAGCTTATGTCAAGTGTTCTGGCTGCACATGCACAAGAAGAATAATAAAGGGGGTGGGAGGAAACTTTAGGTTTCATGGGTGAATCCTTATCCCCAAACTCATCAAGTTGTATACGTTAAATATATACATCTTTTTACGTGTCAATCGTACCTCAATAAAATGGTTAAAGTAATAGTAACAATTGCCAATCCACTCAGTAAAAAATAGGTAAAATATTTTACCAATACCTTTACAAAGATTCATGAATGTCCAACGAGCACATGAGATAGTGTGTGTCACTCGTCATTAGGGAAACGGAAATGAAAAGCATCACCATGCACCCACCAGAATGGGTGTTTAAAAGCCTGGCAGGTCCAAATACTGGCAAGGAGATGGAGCACCTGGGACTCCTTGAAACTTCTGATGAGAATGCAAAGTGATACAACCACTCCAAAAAATCAGAATCAAAAGCATGCACTTTCTCATAAAATGAAACACACGCCTGTTCTGACTCAGCAATTTCATTCCTAACCCAAGAGAAATGAAAATATGTGCACAAAAAAACTTGTAACCCGAAAACTCACAGCAGATCTACTTAGGACGGGCAAACCCTGGAAAGACCGCTGTTGTCCCGCCAAGAAACAAACCGCGGTCCACTCAATCCACGGAACTATGAAACGGAACAGATTCTTGCTAGCAGACATAGAAAATAAAACTACTCCTCAGGTTACCAGCAAAAACAGGTTTGTCTGGGAACAGCAGAGACCCGCACTTCAGGAAAACAAACCTAGAGCAAAAGAGGCGCTGTCGTCAACGCGAAGTCCGTCGGACTAAACCGGGAGCCGGAAGTATAGCGGCTCCTCATTGGCTGGGCTGCCGGGAGGAGGAAATCTTCTTCCGGGGCAGTAAAGTACTACGCATGGGCCCCGAGGAGCGGTGGGGTGTCAGCGCGCCCCCTGCTGGCCGCTTGGCTCCATGCTAAATGAGCTTTCCTTTTATGAATTTTCACACCAAGCGAACCCATTTTGCCAAAAACTAACTGGCTGTTTCACTTTTTTTTTTATTTTTAAAATTTTTTTAATTTTTTTTTAAGATTTTTATTTATTTATTCATGAGAGACAGAGAGAGAGAGAGGTAGAGGGAGAAGCAGGCTCCCAAGGAGCAGGGAGCCTGATGCGGGACTCGATCCCAGGACCCCGGGATCATGACCTGAGCCGAAGGCAGATGCTTAACCCACTGAGCCACCCAGGCGCCCTGGCTGTTTCACTTTTAAGGTCGATATGAGTAATATAAGTAGTTTGTTTTTTTTTTACGATTTTTTTATTTATTTATTTGAGAGAGAGAGAATGAGAGGGAGCGAGTACATGAGAGGGGGGAGTGTCAGAGGGATAAGCAGACGCCCTGCCGAGCAGGGAGCCCGATGCGGGACTCGATCCAGGGACTCCAGGATCATGACCTGAGCCGAAGGCAGTCGCTTAACCAACTGAGCCACCCAGGCGCCCTAGTAGTTCTAATTTTTTAAGATAGCGCAGGACCCTTTTCTCCTCCATTGCCGCCAGCCGTTCGGAAGGCTTTCACCTTGCCCACGTCCTCTCCATCGCTGTTCTCCGCTTGTCTGGGCGGCTGCAACGAAGCACCGCGGACTGGTGGCTAACAAACAACAGAGGCTGCTGTCTCACAGTCCTGGAGGCGGGGGTCTGAGATCAGGCGCCCGCACGGTCGGGTTCGGCTGAGGCCCCCCTTCCAGGTTGTAGGCTGTACCCTCACGTAGTGGAAGGAGCGAGCTGGCCCTGTGGCCTCTTCCTAAAGGGCACTAATCCTGTTTACGGGGCCCTACCCTCATGACTTAATTCCCTCCCGAAGGCCCCATTTCCAAATACCATCACATTGGGATCGGGGTTTCAGCATATGAATTTGGGGGACACAAACACTCAGCCCTTGCCTAGTCTTTTGCTTGTCACCCTTCTAATAGCATGCAAGGGCACCTCCCTGTGGCCTTTCCCTAATGGCCAACAACAGCCAACATCTCTGCCCACGTTCGTTAGCCATTTTATATCCTCCTTGGAGAAATATCTATTCAAATCTTCTGCTCATTTTAATTGGGCTGTTTGCCTCCCTTTCACCGACTTTTAAAAATAACAGCTTTATTGAGGTATAATTCACATACCATACAATTCACCCATTTAAATGTACAATTGAGACGTTAAGCACATTCACACTGTTGTGCAGCCGTCGTCACCCACAGCCACGCGGGGGATGCAGGCTGGACTTCCCTCAGGTGGGGGCTGCCCAGGCCCCGGGGGTCTGTGCCACCGGCCTTCTTCCTGGACCCTCCTGGTCCGGCCTGGTGGATGAGGGTCCCGCCCCAGAGACCCCCCAGCGGAGACCGGGACCCGCCCGTCCGTGAAGGGCCTTTGACATCCTCGCAGAACGACGGCTGCAGGTGCATCCCGCAGGCTCTGACCCCCTTCAGCCCCTTCAGGACAAACGCCTTGCTCTGAGGACCGGATCACAGAGCGCCGGGTCCTCCCGGCGTCCTAGAGCTGCCAGGAAGGGTCTCTGCGTCGCTTCCGGGCATCTGGCCCCGCTTCCGGTGTGGCCGCGCCGCGGAGCTTCGCGGGGCCGCGTAGCCCCAGGCCGCGCTCTGCAGGTGCGGGGGCATCTCGGACTCTGGGGCACGGGGGTGGGGTCCCTCTTTCCGGGCGGAGGCAGCGGACCGCGATGTGGCTCCTTGGCCGCTCCATTCGAGAAGCTCTGGAGGCCGGTCCGCGGCTGCGTGGGGCGGGGCCCGGCGGCGGGTCCGCGGCTCGTGGGCGGCCGCTCGGCCGTGCGGCAGGTGGCCAGGGCTTCCCCGGCGAGCACGGGCCACGACTCCAGCCGGGCCGGTCTCCGGAGGCTGCTTCCTCGGGGCCGGTGGCCCGGAGAGCGTCAGCGGGGGGCAGCACGCCGTCCTCCCGGGAGCAGGGTCTGAGCGTCGCGCGGCCGGGGCAGTGGAAGGCAGTTCCTGATGGGGGCCAGGCGCCAGGCAGTTGGGGAACACCCGCGTTTGGGCAGTGGGTGGTCGTTGACGGGCGGGGCGAGGGGGGCCCTGCCTTCCCGGGAGAATGCGATACGATGCAGCCAGTGGAGGACCCCCTGTGCCCCCGGGCTGCCCCGCGCTTCGCCGCGCCCCATTTCGCTGTGCGGTGAGGACCCTTCTGTGCTCCGCCGAGCTCTGTCCTGTGCGTGTGGCTTGGTCACCTGGGATGTGCCGTGACGTTACACCGTCAGGTACTGACCCCGAGCTTTTCTCCAGGTGCCACGGTACCTCTTGTCACGTGCCCCTCCCGCCTGCCTGTCTGGTTTCTCCTGTGCTGTGGAAACGGTGGGGACTTTCGATGGACAGGCCTGGGCTCTAGTCCTTGGGCAGTCGTGCTGGAGCCTCGGTTTCCTTGTCGGCTCCCGCGGAGCCGTCGTGCGATTCACGGTTGACGGAGCTTAGTGTGGTCACGGCTGGCAGCAGCAGTGGCTGTTAATCCCTGTGTTCTCCGGACTTCTCTTCTCTTCACTCTTTTCTCCATTATGTATTTGGAGAACTTACGTGTCCTCTCCTGTCTTCTGGTTCTCTTCTCCTGCCCACCCTGCCTCCCTTCCCTGCCAGCTCGTCTCTTGCCGGGATTAAAGTGGGCCCATCTGCCACCTGCTCTCAGGGCACCTCCCATCACATTGGCTGTCGTAGGTGGTTCATGCTGTCAGCATCTTGAAGTCCTCATTTTCTGGCCCAGAGCACACGGGAGTCACTGGACTTCTCTTCTCCCCGCCCCTGGCAGTTGCAGCTGAGACCTTTCTTCTGGGCTGCTTGATCGAAAAGGAGGAAGCAGCAATGTCTGGCTTGGGGACTGCAGCTCCATACCTGCATTACCCTGGTGATAGCCACAGTGGCCGGGTGAGTTTCCTGGGGGCCCAGCTCCCCCCAGAAGTGGCAGCAATGCCCCGGCTCCTGGGAGACCTGGACAGGGGCACGTTCAGAAAGTTGCTGAAGCTGGTGGTCAGCAGTCTACAGGGAGAGGACTGCCGGGAGGCTGTGCAGCGCCTCAGGGCTGGAGCAGACCTGTCGGAGGAACGGCTGGGTGTCCTCCTTGCCGGCACAAACACACTGCTCCAGCAGGCCATCCGGCTGCCCCCAGCCAGCCTGAAGCCTGACGCCTTCAAGGACCAGCTCCAGGAGCTCTGCATCCCCCAAGACCTGGTCACAGACTTGGCCAGTGTGGTGTTTGGGAGCCAGCGGCTTCTCCTCAACTCTGTGGCCGGGCAGCAGGGGGCCTGGCTGCCCCATGTTGCCGGCTTGTGGTGGAGGGTGGACGTGGCAATCTCCACCAGTGCCCTGGCCCGCTCCCTGCAGCCAAGTGTCCTGATGCAGCTGAAGCTTTCAGATGGGTCGGCATTCCGCTTTGAGATCCCCACAGCCAAGTTCCAGGAGCTGCGGTACAGTGTGGCCCTGGTCCTCAAGGAGATGGCCGACCTGGAGAAGAGGTGTGAGCTCAAACTGCAGGACTGACCGTGCTTGCAACCCCATTGCAGTCACCTGGGGAGAGTTGGCTCCGACAGGTGTCCGCAAACAAAGCCTGCCCTTCCAGGAGGCATTCCTGAGATGTTTGAATGTAATCATGTCCTTATCTGTTTAGTTGAGAAAGCTGATCTTCCCTTTTTATTGGAAATAAAGCAACTATAAAAAAAAGCGTCCTCCTGGGTGGGCATCAGACTGCACACCCTCCCCTGGCTATTGGTTTTATTACTGGGTGAGGGCACCTGCTGCTGTGGGGGGGCCATGTGTGGTTCTGGTTTGGTTGCCATCGGGTGTCCAGGTCAAGGCCTTTTTGTGGACACTGTGTGGTCACTTGGCCTGGCCTCATGTAGCATCTGCTTATTAGCTTTTGTGAACCCTTTGTTTTAGTGTGGACATCTCATTTTCCTGTCTTATATCTTTGACCTCATGGAGCCAACATTCTAGTGGTGAGGGGGAGACATTACAAAATGCATAATACAAAATGACTGGCAAAGCTTTTCAGAGGAGGGTAAGTGGTGCAGAAACAGAGCAGGGGTTGGCCCCTGGGTGGCTTGGTCTCTTAAGCATCTGACTCTTGATTTCGGCTCATGTCATGATCTCAGGGTCCTGGGATCAAGAGTCCCTGCTCAGCAAGGAGTCTGCTTGAGATTCTCTCCCTGTGTCCCTCCTCCCACTCACGCTCTCTTTCTCTCTAAAATAAATATTTACAAAAGGAAAAAGGAAGAGGGGCACCTGGGTGGCTCAGTCGGTTAAATGTCTACCTTGGGCTTAGGTTATGATCTCCAGGTCCTGGGATGGAGCCCTGTGTCCAGCTCCCCGCTCAGTGCCCCTAGCCCCCACTCCTGTTTGTCTTTATCTCAAATAAATAAATAAAATCTTAAAGTAAAAAAAGAAAGAAAGAAAAGAAATAGAGCAGGGTCCCAGGACGGGAGGCAGGATTACGGAAGAGCTGGGCTGTCATCCTAAATTGGGTCATGGGGTGGGGACACGGCATATGAGCAAAGACTTGAAGGAGGTAAGGGAGCAGAGCAGTCTGAGGGGTGGGGGCAGCAGCTCCTGGTGCACAGCCCGAGCAGCTGTGGCTGGGTGAGGGGTGAGTAGAGGGTGTGGAGGGCACGCCCGGGGGCTCTGTAACAACTTCGGCTCTACTCTGAGCAGAGCAGTGTGATCTGACAGTTGCTCTAGTCCTGGGCTCTAGTCCTTGGATCTCCCTGGCTGCTGTGTTGTGAGCACAGTAGAGCACAAGGGCAGGGGTTGGGAGCCCTGTGGTGGAGAGGCTGTTGCCAGGGTTGAGGTGGAGTCGGGGACAGGGGGACAGGGGGACAGGGGCCTCTCCTGGGATCCCCTGAGTGGGTGTCTCAGGCAGCTCGGGCTGCCATAACAAAATACTCTAGATTGAGTGGCTTTAACAACAGAATTCTATTTCCTCACGGTTCTGGAGGCTGGCAGTGCGAGATCAGAGTCCCAGCAGAGTCAGGTCCCGGTCAGAGGCCTGCAGACTGCCTTTCCTCAGGCCACGTGCATGTGTGAGAGAAGAGAGCTCTCTCTTCGTCTCATTAAGGACACCGGTCCTGTTGTTGGGTCGGAGCCCCACCCCATTTAACCTTAATCACCTCCCTGAAGGCCCCATCTCCATAAACGGTCACACGGGGGGTTAGGGCTTTAACATGAACTTGGCGGGGGACACAATTCAGTACTTGGCAGTGAGAGTGCAGGGTGGAGGAGAGCGGGATCTCTGCTGGGTGCCTCCAGGGTGGGAGTGTTCAGGCCCGTGGCCAGTGTTGCACTTCCCAGCATAACCGGCCCCCAGGTAGGGGACGTGGGTCCTGCTTTTTGCAGAGACGTTTGCTGTCAGTCTGTGTTCCCCTGGCGGTGTCCCCACCTCCATGGTCTCTCCGCTAAGCAACCAGCTCACAAGTCTTGTAGGATAAATAGGCCTGAGCAGCCTGCAGGAACTTCCCCTGAAAAACAGCTCATGAGCCCTGCCCTTTCCCAGAACCCCCTTCCTGCCCCCCTGCTCTGTGCCAGGGCCCCATTGGGGCCCCATCGAGGGCAGAGCACTCCCACCTTCTCAGTTAATCCTTCTCCCTCAGAGGCAGGGTCACGGCAGTGTGGGTGTGGGGCACTGAGGACAAGGTGGCGTGGGGCTGCGCACGCAGAGGTAGGGTTTCAGAGGCTGAGCTCCCAGGTGGAGCCCCCAGGTGGGGCCCAGGCCTGGCTCAACTGAGGGGCGCGGATTCTGTCTCCTGCAGCATCCGCGGTCATCCGGGGCCCCGCTGCCCCGAGGATGGGAGCTGGACTGGGCCATCCAAGCTGCCGTTTGGCCCACGTACTTGCTGAGCACCATGTCCGCCCACCCAGTGATGGAGGCCTTCTGTGCCAATATGTCTGTCGTGACCCTTAGACATGTTCAGGGAAAAAAAAAAGTAAAAACAAACTTAAGGAAAAGGAATTTCAAAGTCCTTTTGCCCACAGCCAGCCACGGCAACGGACTTACAGTGAGCGTGTGTGTGGCAGCTCCGTTCTCTTCCCGGGTGTGACCGCTGGTGCGAGCGGTGGCCGAACGTGCCCTTCCCCTTGGCAGGTGTGCCGTGTCCCTCCTGACACGACAAACAAAACGCCACAGGCTGGGCAGCTTCAACATCGTTTGCTTCTCCCAGCTCTGGAGCTGATGGTCCGGAATCAGGGTGCAGCCTTCTCCGTGTCCTCACAAGGTTCCGGGGGTGCGGGAGCGCTCTGGGGGCTCTGAACCCATGGCCGAATCACATCCCCAAGGCCCCAGCTCCTCAGACCGTTACACTGGGCGTTAGGGTTTCAACATACAGATTTTGGAGGGGAGGGGGTGACACAGACCATAGAGGCTGTGTTGTTAAAAATCACAGTGCTGGTTAGTGGTAAAACCATTTTATGTACTGAAACCGTTTGGAAATGGGAACGAAGGAGGCAGAATGTGAACATTTTAAAGCCCTTGACATCATCGACCAGCTGTGACCCGAAGTCCGTTCTCGGTACAGGTTTCTCCATCACCCCTTACAGGCCGGTCCCTGGGCAGCGCAGCCGCGAGCGCAGGGTTGTTACGGGTGTAAGGGCAGGCGCTGCGCACCGGTCTCCGTCCTGCACGTGTGTCCACCCGCTAACTCACAGGCTGAAGCTTCCCCGCGTGACGGAGGTCAGAGGCTTGCCCTAAGTCAAACAGCTGATGGGGGAGCTGGTGTGGTCAGCCTTCCCTCCCGACCTGGACGGGCTGCACTGTTGGCAGTGTCTTCCGTCTGTTGACCGCCAGAGTGACCGTGCAGGCTGGCTGGAGGGGCAGGACCACCTGGGGGGCCTCAAGAGGCTCTCCCTGCTGGCTCCTGTGGACACACCTTTAGGGTTGTGAGCTGTTGAGATTTAGGGGCTTCCGCTGTGCAAGATTACTGGAATTTGGCCGGTGCAACCAGGAATAGAGACCTAGGGCCTGAGCCAGGCTTACATGTCCCGGCGAGTGCTCCGAGCTCTGCCACCACCACAGGGCCACGTGGCTGGGCCTCCACGGTTCTAAGTTACATGCCGAGCAGAGGAGAGGCACTTCCCAGGCCACCCCGTTGTTGGCATCTGTGAGAACACGCACAGCTCCTTCCCGAGAGGCTCTCGGAGCCCCTCAGCGCTTGCAGGGGGAAGGCCCTTTTCCACTCCCAGGTGGGAGTTCCAGGAGCCGCCCAGCGGGCAGGCACCCGGATTAGCACTTCCTTTCCTTGCCCAAGGGGCACAGAGACCTAATCCCCCTCGTCCTTGTGCCCCTGGCTGGGGTGGTCTGGCAGTCTGTCTCCACAGCTGTGCTGGTGCGTCCACTCTGCAGTCCCCTGGGACGGCCCTGGGCCCCTCGAAGGTATGGCATCTGGTCACACACACCCTCTGCTCCTGGCGGGTCCGGACACTCTGCCCACTCGCGAGCCGCCTCCCAGAAGGCGCCTCTGTGCTGCGGCTTCCAGTCAGCAACGGTGGGGGCGGAGCACCGTCCCCCATCCTTGGCAGACGACACGGTGGCGCTGACCACGCTGCCCCTCCCTCCACTCCCCTGCTGCTCTGCAGAGCCGCCGTGGCAGGAGCCGGCCGCGCCGGGCCGCGCCAGCTTTGCAGGTCACAAGGGTGCTGTCAGCTCTGGCACTGTTGCTTGAGGGCGGCTGGGCGCTACGTGAATCAAGGGGCACAGTCACGTTCCAGTAAAAATTTCTTACTGGTGTTGAAATTTTAATTTCATGTGTCACAAAATCACTTTCAGCCATTTAAAGACCATTGTTACCTCATACGAAACCAGGTGGCAGATGGATGGTGGCTCTGCTCTGCTTCCCTCAGCCCAGCTCTTGGCAGGCTGGGGTGTGTGGACCCTGTGCGCCCAGAGCAGCCGTCCACCCTCACCTGTGGTCAGTCCCTACCACTGACCGGGCTCCAGGCCCACCTTTGTCCCCAGGCCCGCACAAGGCCTTGTACAGAGAATGGACACTCACACTTGCAAGATTACCCTTTTCCATTTTCTGGATCTTTTTCAGATCTCTATGGAAACTTAAAAAAAAAAAAAAATCCCCACTCAATGTGGGGCTCGAACTCACAACCCCGAGATCAAGTCTCACACTCCACCATCGGGAGCCCTCCAGACACCCCTCTGTGGAAACGCGATGCCAGTGGGTTTCCTCTCTTCCCTGAGTGTTGAGCAAGTGAATCCTGCACTGGGGGAGCATCCAGGCTTTGAGATTGGGACGTTAGACAAACATCTCCTAGCCTCTGAGTGTAAGCCACACACACTGTGTGAACTCACCTGGGCCTTTAAGACTGGGCCCTAGTCTTAAAAATGCTTGTTATATTCACTGAAGCCCAAATTGGGAGATACAGCGTGAAAGTAGAACGCAGTATCCCAAAGCTTGCACTGCCTCTCTGCAAAGAGCCACCAGAACATGTGACGTGTGCAGACACTCTTCCCGGGATCTCAAGCCCCCGCATCTCAAGTGCTGAGGCAGTTTGATTTCACAGAGTCTTGCCGAGCAGGCCAGTAGGACGCTTCTCTTCCACGTGGCTGCAGCTAAGAAAGGACCCCTCACCCTGTACTTCTGCAGCTGAGGCCCTGGACTGGAATGTAAGACTTTAGGTTTATCTCTATTGAATTTTTGGTTGTATTGGGACATTTAAGTGAACAAACCACACTAAGAATTGAGGGCATGGAGTTTCTACCCAGGTTAACAAGGCCAGCAAGTGTGAACTTGGCTCGCGTCATACGGGTGGCCAGCTCTGTTCCAATAAACTTTATTTATTCACACTGAAATATGATTTCAATATAATTTTCAAATGTCACAAAATAGTCCTTTTTTCCCTTCTTAGCTTTTAAGCCTTTTAAGAGGTAAACTGAGGTACATCAGTTTTAAAGAGTTTACTTGAGCAAACGTGGACTGGAACCAGGCAGTGCCCACCTGAAAAAACCAGAGTTCTGTGCTGGGAAGAGACAGGGGAGAAGTTTTCACAGAGAAGACTGCTTATGGCTGTTTGTGATTGGTTGTTCTTAAATTTCATTTTCTCAGATGAGTGCACTTAAGAGGAATCGACTCCGGCCTAGATTTTGGTCAGCTTATGTAGCTACCAAGGCACGAGAGCCACCCCGTCTAATGGCCTCCGTGTTCCAGCCCCTGATCTAGGACCATGTCAATCCAAAGAGAGAATCCAGGGGCTGGAGATGATTTCGGTGGAATCCTCTGGCCCTTTCTGGCTGGCCTGGAGTTGCTGTTAGAGGACAGCATCATGCCCAGGTTGGAACCCGGAAGACTTCGTGGAACCTCCCAGCAAGTAGCCGAGAGAGGGTTCCCTTCTGGGGATGGCACAGTCAGTGACCAAACTGCAGTCCCTGGTCCTCTTGCACTGACCCTTTTGGACCTAAGCTCTGGGTGGAGTAGGGACAGCTGGAGGGGCGGTTACAACTACTGAAATGGGCACAGTGATTTCATAGTGTCCTGGCACCTGGAGAGGGGACACCTCCAAAGGGGCAGGTACAGGCCAGGGCACAACCTTCAACCCAAGAACTGGCACCGCAGCCTGAGAACACACGGAACTTTGTGCCTGCCTAAGCAGCAGTGGCTGGTGATCGGGCTGAGATCCTGGCCCATGTGCTGGAAACACAGAAACCCACACGGACCTAACCATCCCGAACTCTGCTGTTCCCAGTTCCAGAAAGTTCTGGAACCTCCCACTGCAAACACAGGGACCAGTCAGCCCTTTCTTCACCTGATACAAATCCATAAGCTGCTACTGGTGATCGGCCATGAAGGCAGTGTCTCAGGGACCTACCCACAGCCTTAGCCAGACCGGTGTGGCAGTGACCCAAATCAAGTCATAGCCAAATCAAGCCATAAATCCCGAAGTGACTGACCTGTGTCCCTCTGGGTTACCTTTCTGTATGTGGGATGGGGAGGAGGGTTCACCAGCCCCAATTTTGCTCATGGTAACTGGCAAGGACACCAAAGATCGACAGGTCTCAAGTGAGTGGTAGTGGGCTGCAGCCAGTCTGAATGAGACTTTTGGTCCCCTCCAACTTTTGGTGAGTCCAGGACCCTAGGGCAGGGCCACTATCCACACTGTGGTTAGCCTCAGGCTGCTGGTGAGCAGTCTGTCTCCATCTCCACCAGCCTCTGGGAAAAGGCAACAGGCTCATCTGTCAGCTTCCAGACCCTCCCAGTTCTGGCAGTTTATGGCAGGACGAATTCAGAGAAGTCTGGTAAGCAGCAGGAACAGTACACACCCTGGCCTCTGGGTGGCATCTGCTGGGCTCCCGTGAGCTCTTCCTGCTGAGGCCAGGTCTGCACTGGGTTTGGCTGGAGATGCCAGCTTGGGGTCTCAGTGTGGGAGGGGGGAGGCTCTCTTACAGTTCAATTCTTATGATCACCCTGTAACAATGCTGATAAGGAGAGAGACTCTGGATTTCAAGGACAGTGGCATCCCAGAGTCACAGAGCAGGTCCCTGGGCCCGGGTGCAATTCCTGGAGTCCTGCGCTGATCCAAGCTCCTCTCTGAACAGGCCGGCACTGAGCCCTCCGGCTGTAACCCCGGGTTGCTCTGGTGGGGTGGGAGAAAGGGGTTCTAGGCACCTTCCTCTGGGCTTCCACTAGCACGAGCTACCACATCCTGACTGCTGAAGCCAACCTGAAGGACCAGTGCTCAGGGAAGACACTTTGGGTAACTTCTAAGCTACCTGTGTGGCAAAGCTCACAGGCCTTTTCCCATGATCTTCCTCATCCATAGGACCGAGGGTCTTCCCTCTGTGAGCTCGAAACTCTACACATGTGCACCCTGACTCGAGGGACACAGGCTTTGCTGAGTGGGCTACGGTCACACGTCCCAGCAAAGGAACATCCACTTTATATGAATTTAGACATTTTCTTTCTTAAGAGGGTAATTTGGAATCTATCCCCACGTTCTAAATTCTTGTTAGTATAAATGATCCCATATAAAATATGTAAAGTTAAGGCTGTAGGTTTATTCACATTTATACACATTTATAAAGGTAAGTGGTCTATCCCATGTGAATTTTCTGATGCTGAGTAAGCCTTGAGCTCCGATTGAAAGCTTTGCCGCATTCATTACATTTGTAAGGTTTCTCTCCGGTGTGAATTCTCTGATGTATAATGAGATGTGAGCGCCACCTGAATATTTTCTCACATTCATTACATTTATGCAGTTTCTTTACAGTATTGACTTTTTTACGGCTCACGTGGGTAGAAGCTTCCAAGGTATTCCCGTACTCATGATACCACTGGGCCCGGGTGTGGATCCTCTGATGCTCGATAAGATAGGAGCTCCGACTGAAGGCTTTCCCACACTCGCTACATCCGTAGGGCTTCACTCCTGCATGGATTATCTGGTGCTGGAAAAGGGTTGAGTTTTGACTGAAGGCTTTCCCGCACTCAGTACACTTGTAGGGTCTCTCCCCAGTGTGGACCCTTTGATGTATCGTGAGCTGTGTGCTCATACTGAAAGCTTTTCCACATTCGAGGCACTCGTAGGGCTTCTCTCCCTTATGGATTCTCTGATGGTAAATGAGGCTTGAGCTCTGGCTGAAGGCTTTTCCACAGTCACTACACTCGTAGGGCTTCTCTCCAGTGTGAATTCTCTGGTGCTGAATTAGGTGTGAGCCCTGGACAAAGCCTTTCCCACATTCCTCGCACTTAAATGGTTTTTCTCCAGTGTGAGTTCTCTGGTGGCGAATAAGCCGTGAACTACAACCAAAGGCTTTTGCACACTTGTTGCATTTATAAGGTTTCTCTCCAGTGTGGGTCAGCTGGTGCTGACTGAGGCGAGACACCCACCTGAAGGCCTTTCCACACTCGTCACACTTAAATGGTTTCTCTGTAGGGTGGATTCTCTGATGTGCAACAAGGCTGGGACCATCTGGGTTCCTTGGAAGTTGAGGTTTGTCCCCAGCGTGCATCCGCTGGTGCTGAGCCAGGGTTGAGCTCTGGCTGAAGGCCTTCCCACACTCCTGGCACTGGTAGGGCCTCTCTCCGGTGTGGGTCCTCTGGTGTCTGACCAGCTGGGACTGCTGGCTGAAGGCCTTCCCGCACTCCCGACAGCCATAGGGCCTCTCCCCCGTGTGGACCCTCTGGTGGTGGATGAGGCTGGAGCTCTGACCAAAGGCCTTTCCACACTCCTCACACCTGTAGGGCTTTTCTCCAGTATGAATTCTTTGATGCTGAATAAGCTTTGAGCTCAGACGAAAGGCTTTTCCACACTCGATGCATCTGAATGGCTTTTCTCCAGTGTGGATTCTCTGATGCTGATTAAGCTGGGAGCACAACCTGAAGACTTTCCCACACTCCTCACATTCATACGGCTTCTCTCCGTGGCACTTACTTCCATGTTTCCCCTGTGAACAGTCAGGTAATTTTTTTTTGCACTCCAGACAGCTGTTAGGTTTCTTCTGTGTATTCATGTCTCGATGCAGAGCAATGTCTGAAGTAGATCTGAAGCTTGTGCCACACAGGTCACATCTCTGGGATGTCCCTTCGGCGGCCCCTCCCTGACTTCTGCCAGGCTGACAACCCAGGCCGCCACTGCTCTCCAGCTCGCCACATCTCTGGGCACCCTCCTTGGAGAAGGTCTTCCTGGGAGCCACAGTCCCTGTGTTCAAGCGGTTTCTCTGGAGGAGGGAGCCTGGCTTACTCTCTGACCAGACCTCAGACTCAGAGGTGTCTCTAAAGCTAGAACTCTGAGGAAAACCCTGTGGGGGGCTTCTGACCATGGCCACACAGGGTTCTGACTTTAGAACATCCATGTCCTCACAGGCCTGCTCACCTGCAATCCCAACTGCAGAATCTGAAAGAAACAGGAAATAAAACGCCCTTATCCCCTGTGCTTAGAGAAGGACAAAGACCAGGGGTGGGGATGGGGGCTGCACATCATCCCTGGGAACTGAGCTCCCTGCCAGGACGGGCTGCATCAAGCAAGGATACACCCACACGGAAAAACACTACCAGGGGCGCCTGGGTGGCTCAGTCGTTAAGCGTCTGCCTTCGGCTCAGGTCATGATCCCAGGGTCCTGGGATCAAGCCCTACGTCGGGCTCCCTGCTCACCGGGAAGCCTGCTTCTCCCTCTCCCGCTCCCCCTGCTTGTGTTCCCTCTCCTGCTGTCTCTGTCAAGTAAATGAAATCTTCAAAAAAAAAAAAACAAAAGAGAGAAAAGAAACTACTACCAGAAGTCATGCCTCTGACAGTTTTCAAAATTTGGTTTCATTAATACTTTTTACTTTATGCATACATTCAACGACTGTGTACCCCTGGGTGCGGGTACATGAGGAGAGGTCCATCCTGTGGGGAACTGGGATGAGTGAAAATCCATAAAGAAGCAGTGAGCCTGAGAGCCTGGCCAAGTGTGGCCAGAGGCTCCTGGATCCAGAGGAGGTGGAGTGAGGGTAAGATGGACTGAAAACTATGAGTGGGGGGCCAGGCAGGATCTAAGGAAGATAAGGCTGGACTGCTGCTGAGGGGCACACCAGGGGTGAGCCTGAGGGGGCAGGGCTCTGAGCAGGACCCCAGGCCTTAACTCTGCTTCCTCCAGCTGCTGTCCAGCCGCCTCTGATGCACACCTAACCATGCACATCCATTGCTTGTGGGCCCCTCAGCTTCCAGGAGGCCACACCATACTGCCTTCTTGTTCCCTTGGGGTTCCAGAGGCTCCATCTACCCCTGCCTGCCCCCCACGAGGCCTTCCTGACATCCGCCTTCCTTCTGGACTCTCCATATAAGTGTCAGTCTCTCTCCTACTCTGTAGTCTGAGAGTACCCTTGCTAAAGTCAGACACCTCCTTGGTGTCCGCAATCACGCCCAGGGTCATAACTAGCATCACAACCAACTTCATAATCAGTGTGATAACCAGTTATAAGCAGCCCATCACTACCCCACAGCGAAATCCTCCAGGGCCCCAGTTACAGGGTTCCTGGTGGTTCCTAACATCAGCGCCCTCTCCAGCTCCAGGGATCTGCAGCTCTCGGTTGGTCCCGGGTGAGGCAAAGGCCATCACACACGGAGCATCTTCTGTGGGTAAGGAATACTTAGTTCCCAGCCACTCCTCAATGAGTCTTCAGGACAATCCAAAGAGGTCAACAGTGGAATCACCACCCCACAGATGAGCAATCTCTGGCTCCCCAGTCACATAGCTAATGAGAATCAGAAATGGACCCAGGTCTGTTCCCCCAACACTTGTCCTTTCGACCTCTCTGTGCCCTTATGACACAGGGTATGTCCTGCCTGGTCCTCGATGCACAATCACACAGCCTTCCACAGGGCAGGACTGGCCATGTGGTGCTGGCTCATTCAGCCCTCTGCCCAGGCCTCCTTCTGCTCTGGAGAGGAGCAAACAGAAAGTGCTGCTCTCCGCTGCCTCCTGCTGGAAAGCAGAGGCCTCTACGGACACCAGGGAAGAACATGGTGATGTCTGTAGTCGTGGGGTGGGGACCTCCTGCTCGCAAGGGGAGAAAAAGACAACCCCACGTGGCTAAGCAGCCACAAGCCCACCCGACCCTGCTGGAGTCGGCCTCCATCTGGTTCCCTACAACCAAGTCTAAGAACCCTCCCTACACACCAGGCCCTGGTGCCAGCCTCAGGGGCTTCCCCTCAGGCTCAGCTCGTACACGCTCCCTCTCTGGGGGCCCACAGCACATCCTTGGGGACCCCTAACTGCAGCCCAGAGTTCTCACCCTCACCCGGAACTTGAGAGCTCTTCTCTGCAGCTCTAGATAACCTCTGAGGAGATACAAGCGCATGTTAAAAAAACAGCCTCATTCTGGAAGTGGTTTTCCCTCAGAGAACAGACGTGTGTCCCTGCAGGCCCTGCACCCTCGTGCCACTCTGGGCCCCTCCTCAATTATCTGCTGCACAAGTCCGACACAAGTAACATCTCTGGGCACATACGTTTTTCTAACATGCTCCACACGTTTTCACCTGCCAGGCCGTGCTCCTGCCCTGGGCTGTCAGGCTCACGAGCAGGTCTCTCTCATTGTGGGGATGTTTTCTTTGCTGCTGCCTCATCACCATAAAGACCATTTGCTGCGTATAAACCCCCTGAACTACCCAACTCTGCTAACTCCAGCTAGCTTTTCTGCCATGGCACCCTCTTTGAATCAAAATCTCCCCTCCACCTTGGAAATATTTAACAGTGGCTGGGTTTTAACTGGGCTAGCCTACAGCTTTACCTCCTTCCCAGAAAGGATCAGGAAGGAGCCTCAACAGGAAGGCAGGGCCTTCAATTGCAGAGCCAAGGATGCTGGGGGCTGGGGTCAGGGCTCCCAACACTCCCGCCCATACCTTTGCTGCCTTCCACACGACGATGAGTGTGACGATGCTTTACAGAGACTTAGTAACCTGTTGTAAGGACTCCAGGCCCTTCCAGGCAGGAAGAGCACAACCCTTAACTGTCACAATGTGGGGGCACCTGGGTGGCTCAGTCGTTGAGCGTCTGCCTTCGGCTCAGGTCATGATCCCAGGGTCCTGAGATCGAGCCCCGCATCGGGCTCCTGGCTCAGCGGGGAGCCTCCTTCTCCCTCTGCCTGCCACTCCCCCTGCTTATACTCTCTCTGTCTCTGACAAATAAATAAAATCTTAAAAAAAAAAGGTATGAATTGTGGGGCACCTGGGTGGCTCAGTCGTTAAGTGTCTGCCTTCGGCTCAGGTCATGGTCCCAGGGTCCTGGGATCGCGCCCCGCATCGGGCTCCCTGCTCCGCGGGAAGCCTGCTTCTCCCTCTCCCACTCCCCCTGCTTGTGTTCCCTCTCTCGCTGTGTCTCTCTCTGTCAAATAAATAAATAAAATCTTAAAAACAAAAACAGTAACTGTCACAATCTGATTCTCCAACTTGCTTCCGGCCAGCCAGGGACCACAGCATGAGCGTCAGGCCCTGCTCTGCTGCACAGTGACCACGGGACGCGACAGTTAGCCAGGAGGATTCCTTTCTGTGGTCGGGATACAGGCGACCCTGCTTCCCTGACCAAACTGGGCAACATGTCTGCCAGGGAGGCTCAGACAAGGCTGGAGGCAATGGCATCTCTTCAACAAAGCCCAGTGGGAGCCAACGCTGTGAGGTGGCAGGTACCCCTTTATGGGCTCACTGTGCCCCCCAAAAAGATGTGCTGAAACTCCAACCCCAGGACCTCAGAATATGACCTTATTTTGTAAACAGGATTGTTGAGACCATGTTAAGATGAGGTTGCACTGAAGTAAGGAGAGGCCTTACTCTATAACCCTATACGACTGATAGCCTTTCAAGAAGACATGGGGAAGCCAGGTGACGATGGAGTCAGATACTGGAGTGGCACAGACACAACCAAAGAACACCTGGGGCCACCAGAAGCTGGAGGAGGTAGGAAGGGCCATCCCCCTTAGGCTTCACAGAGGACAGGAACCTGCTGATGCCTTGATTTTGGACGTCTGGCTTCCAGAATTGTGAGACGATTAATCTCTGTGCTTTCAAGCCTCAAGCTTGTGGTGCTTTGTTAGAGCAGCCCCAGGATACTAACACGGCCCTGCAGCCTGATCGGAGAGGGCCCCAAGAAGTTCTGGAGGGAGCTGTTGGTGGGAGGGAGGGAAGTGGTATTTGCCCGAGAAGCTGCTAAGAGCCAAACTTGGTGCTTCCCTTGGATCCACACCTTTGTACCTCTGCTTGATGAGAGCATTAGTAAAATTAGAAACTGAACAACGCGTGCCTTAAAAACAAACTGTTTTTGCTGTAACATGCAAAACATCCCTGCCTTTCTGTAGTTCAGTCTCTCCCAATGCGACCCCGTGACTGGGCTACGCTCTGTCAGCGGGCCCACTTGTGGCCCCACGGTGCTCACGGGCATCCCACCAAGCCTGCTTGGTCGGTCCCGGGTCCATCTCCAGCTTCCCACCCCCTCAGCCCTTGCTGGGCATGGGTTCTCTGAACACCTCCTCATCCGTCCCCAGAAGCTTCTCAGGCCTGAGCCTCACCTGTAAGGCAGGTTCTTGCCCCCTCTCTCCCCTCGACTCCCTTCAGGTCAATGACCCATGGCTCCTGCCCTTGCTCCAGCCGGGAGATCAGCTCAGGCTTGAAGACCAGGAACCCTGCTGTGGGGATGGCAGAGAAGGGGACCGTGTCAGTGTGGCTGAGCAAGGGCTGATCAAGCTCAGGCTTGAAGACCAGGAACCCTGCTGTGGGGATGGCAGAGAAGGGGACTGTGTCAGTGTGGCTGAGGGTACAGCACAGGGCCCAGCACCTTGGTTTCCAAGAGGACAGAGGCAGGGAGCTACTGAAGCACAGCAGAGCCTCCAAAGGGAGCATCAGGGGCTGAGGGTCTAGACACAGCGGCCCTCTCGGGCCAGATCGGCCCAGCTCCGGAGGTTGGCCAGTGAGATGCCTGGACTCCCAGCCCATCCCCATCCACAGCAGGGCCAGAATCCTCCTGGAATCTGACACCAAAGAGTTGGCAAAGAGCAGGCCAGCTCTAGCCCAGGGAGAAAGCAGCCAGCACTTCCCTCAGCAGAGATGGGCTGTCCCCCAGTTCAGAGGGTTGGAACGTTCCAGGAGGTAGAGTGGCCAAGAAGCAAGACAAAAACAACAAAAATAAACCAACAAATGAGTAGATTTTAATTCAGAAGGTGCTAAGGTCCGACCCTCACCTGGCTTCCCCCATTTCATGTCCTTGTGCAAAGCCCTGGGGGCCTCAGCAGACTGCGGAGTGGCACCCACCTTCCAGGGCCACCAGCCCCCACACTGGGGTGCCACGCTGTGGCATGCTCCCAGCCCATCGAAGGGCTGGGCAAGCCCTCAAGGGCTTCCCTCAGGTTTCTGGCTGTGGGGACAGAGGAGGGCAGGCAGAGAGACCCTGGAGGATAAAGGCTTCACATGCACACAGGAGCCCACGCTCAGCGGGAAACAAGTATTCTCTCCAAGTACACATGGAACGTCCACAGAGAAACATCCTTGGGGAGCCAGGGAGGGAGTCATGGCACCATCCACACTGTGCCCCCAACCAAAATGCAACTGGATAGGAAGGTGATCACATGACCTCAAAACTATCAGCTACCTGAAAACTAAATAATTACTAAGTGATAGCTATATTTACTATCAAACTCATGGTATGAGATTTTACATTTTTAAATACATTTACTAGAAATGAGAAAGGTAAAACACAAATGAGGTAAATATTAAATTCAAGAAGTTGGGAGCAAAACAACACAGCAAACCCAAATAAATAAAAAAGGATGAAAATAATAAAGGTGGGTGGGATTCAAAGAATAGAGAACAAAGGCAACAACACCCCACCCCCAAAAAAGATCAGCAAAACCAAACACTGGTTCTTTGAAAAGCCCAATATGACAGTCTTGTGGCAAAATCAATCAAGGTCACCACAGTGAAAAAATAAAATAAACAAGGGAAACAACTACACACATGATACAGACTAAAAATAAAGAGTATTGTGAAGAAATAGACCATAAAGCACCTGAAAATCTAAACGAACACATCAATTTATAGGAACACTAAAAATGACAAAATTAGCACAAAAGGAAATTCACAAACTTGACACACTATTATTCACTAAAAAAAACAAACCAAGGGCCCAAGGCCCAGATGGTTTTACAGGTGAGTTCTACCAAAACCTGTAATTCCACCTACCTAAATTCTTCCAGAAATTAAAAAGATAGTAAAAGCTGCCCAGTTCATCTTATGAAACTCATATGCCAAGTGCCATTTGCCAAAAATATAGAAGAACGATTCACAAAAAGAAACAATAAAGTCCAATTCACTATGAACAGGGATGAAAAATCTGAAATACTGCCTGAGTCCAAAATGATATCAGAGTTTATATGTAAAATATAATCTAAGTAGGGTTTATTCCAAAAATACAACATCAATATAATTTACTAGACTAATGAACTTAAAAAGAATCATACAAATTCTCAATTGATGCAGAAAAAGAATTTGAAATTCAATGTACTTGTTTCGTTTTTTTTTAAAGATTTTATTTTTTAAGTAATCTCTACACCCAACCTGGGGCTTGAACTCACAACCCCAAGATCAAGAGTCGCACGCTCCACCAACTGACCCAGCCAGGTGCCACCCCCCCACTATGTACTTATGATTAAAAACAAAACTCCTTAGCCACTTTCTTCTGATTTTAATTAGATGTAGTCCCCCCCCTTTTTTTTTAAGGTTTTTATTTATTTATTTTTATTTCTTAAAAATTTTTAAAGTAATCTCCACACCCAATGTGGGGCTCAAACTCACAACCCTGAGATCAAGAGTTGCACACTCCACCGACTAAGCCAGCCAGGTGCCCCTAGAAATATTCCCTGTAAAATGAGGAACAAAACAGGCCTGCCCACATCAGTCCTGTCTAACACAGCACTGTGGCTCTGGCCATGGCTAAAGGCTGGGACCCTGGGGGACCAAGGAAACCACCCCAGGCTCAGCTGCAGGTGCCTCCTCCTAGAATATAGCACCAGACTAGCTGGAAGTTTAACAAAGTTGCCAAATACAAGATCAACCCCCCAAAACCAACAGCATTTCATACAGCAACAACAATCAGCTAAAAACATAGCAACATGAAAAAGATACATTCACAAAACAAGCAAAAACAAAGCATTTAGAAAAGGTACCAGACCACTCTGTGAAGCAAATCCCAGAACTCTAACAAAGCCACAGAAGGTAAACGGAATAAATGGAGACACATTCCACGGTCTTCAACGGGAACAGTTAATATGAGAAAGAGGTTAGCTCTTCTCTTGTGAGTTTTACAAATTCAAAGCACCCCCAATAAAAATTCCAGTTCCAAGAACTGAAAAACTCAAACTTATATATTTATATGAAAGAATTACTCCATTACCCATGAGTAGGTAAGTGAAGTTTTAAAAAGAAAAAGAACATTAAAAAAAAAAAAGTTTGGCCAAAAAAAAAAAAAAAAAAAAGAACAAAAAGGGGAGGCTGTCCTACCAGGCATTAAGACACACTACAAGGGCGCCTGGGTGGCTCAGTTGGTTAAGTGACTGCCTTCGGCTCGGGTCATGATCCTGGAGTCCTGGGATCGAGTCCCGCATCGGGCTCCCTGCTCAGCAGGGAGTCTGCTTCTCCCTCCGACCCTCCCCCTTCTCATGCTCTCTCTCTCGATCTCATTCTGTCTCTCAAATAAATAAAATCTTTAAAAAAAAAAAAAAAAAAGACACACTACAAGGCCAGCTCGGAAACACACCATCATACATATGAGACAAGATTCTCCTACTTAACTGCAGACACAAACGTGGAGCCCAGATCTAAACAAGAAAGATAAACTCTAAAGTCCACAGGAGAACATAGACTGTCTCTACGACCTTGGAGTAGGAAAGAACTTTTAAATAAAATTTCAAAAGTACAACCCATAAGGCAAAAACTAAAAGATTTAATTTCATTAAAATGTGACCCCACAAAGCTAACAAACATAAAAGCATGGAAAAAGGTATTTACAATGCACAGAACTCACCATAACACCTCCCAGGGTCAGCCCCTGATCTACAAAGACCCACGGCCCCATATCCCCAGCTTCTGACAAGGGCCTGGCTAAGTGGGTGCTAACCAATGATGCAGGGGGAGGGGTCCCAAGATGCAGCCTCACCTAGTCCAGCCACACTGCTGTGGTTCTCCAGCATTACCTCCTTGTAGAGGGCCCTCTGGCCAGGGTCCAGACACTGCCACTCCTCCCTCGAGAAGTGTACGGCCACATCACCAAACGTCACAGCCTCCTGAAAAGACATACACCAGCACCCCAGGGAACCCTGGGTGCCAGCCTCATTCTGGCTCCACCTCATGGTGTGTCTCAGGCACATGGCTGGGCGAGACAGTCATCAGGCCCCTTTGGCTCTAAAAATTGAGGGGAGGGGCAGTATGGAGGAGTAGGAGGGAGCCAGATCATGGTGATCTACAAACCTCCCCCCATGAGGGCCTCCGGCAGGCCCCAATCTGGGCAGGGTTTTGCTCACTCCCTTGAGGGTGGGCATGCCTGAGCCTGGCAAGGGCCACAAGGGGCCAGTGGAGGGTAGGTTCCCAGAGGAAAAGGTAGGGGTCCTCACAGGACAAGTGAGGAAATGGAGGCAGTTAGACTCCTACCATGAGGCTCGGTGGGTGGGCATCCATGTGTCCTGGCCGAGGGACCTGTTGGCAGTTATGAAAGGGTCAGAGGTCAGGGTGCTGGAGGACCCCTATCCTTGAATTCCAGGCTTACTGAGAGGGTACTGTGTTCTCCGATCCTTTACGTCTAACCCCAGATGTTCTTCGGCAGGGACATAAGGTGGAGCCAAAGTGGCCACAGCACTTGAGCATCTGCCCCCCTGAAGCTCTGTTCACCCTTCAGAGTGTGTGAGGTGTGTGAATCACTCCACAACATAAGACGGGGGGTGCCACCTCTGCCAGGTGCTAGACTGGGGACGCAGCCGTGCACAATGCACAAGAACTCTGCCTTCATGAAGCCGTCTTTAAACAACCATGCAAACACAACATTCCAACCATGACCATGGCCCAGGGGAAGAAACTCTGAATGCATTTAAACTAGGAAACTCTGGTTTGGTTTGATGGGTCCCAGAGGAGCTAACGAGACCAAGGGGATGGAGGTGGGGAGGGCACTAAAGGCAGCAGGGAAAGGCATGGGCAGAGGGACTGAGGCAAGAAGGAATAGGGCGGAATGAGTCAGTGGAGCTGGTCACAGGCAGCAAGGGGAAGTGGTGGTGTGACTGGGGGATGGGACCAGAACAATGGATCACAGGAAGAAGCGCAGCGGATACAGGAACCCCCGCCGCCTATATAAACTTGGCCCCCTCCCCAGGTATTCCCCTAGGTCTGAACGAGAAGTGGACTTCCTGGGGGAGCTTCTGGCTCAGAAAGTGGCTTGTGGGCGGAAGCCCCAGGCTCTGGGTATAGTGAAGCTGACCCGGGCAGCAGGGACGCTGGTCCCCAGTAGAGAAAAGCAGGCCCCGAGCAACAGCCAGAATTCAGAGAAGGCAGACAGCCCACCCTACCCAAGGCACAGCCCTTTCTGCCCCTGTCTCTAAATTTAGGTCTTTCACCGGCAGTAAATGAGGGGAAAAGAGGACCCGAGAAGCTGTGGCTATGCAGAAAGGAGGATCCCGCCTGGGGCAGGCCTAGACCTGGTGGGAAGGCCGCGGCCAGTACGGTGCCATGTAACCGGGCCTGCAGGGCTCGGCCAAACGCCTCCTGCCCCGCTGGCCGAGGCGGCTGCAGCTCGGCCACCACCCACCCCGGGCGCCCACGGCCTCCCCAAGCCGCTCACGCTCCCCGCGCTCCCCCGCGGGGAGGCAGGCGAGCGCGGCGCCCGCAATGCCGGAGGCGGGAGGACGCGGGGGCCGGCCAGCCGCCACTCCGCCCGAGGCCGAGGAGCACGTAAGCCGCCCAGCCCCGAGCCCGCGCCCGACGCGCCCACTCACCCTCCCGCCGACCGCCCGAGGCTCGAAACGCGCGACAAAACCGGAAACGGGCCTTCGCCGCACGCTCCCGCTCCGTCTCACAGACTTCCGGCTGTTCTGGGCGGCTCGGAGGCTCGGCCGTCTCGGTGGTTCCCAGCCTAGCGGCCAGGGCACGGAGAACGGGCGGGGCCGGAGCGCAGGCGGAAGTGGGCGTGGGCGGGGCCCGCGGAGGGGAGGGGCCAGAGTGGAGGGAGGGGCGGGTCCGGGGTGTCACAGCCCCGGGGGGTGAAGGACACGCGGGCCGAAGGGCGGAGTGGATCCCGGCGAAGCAGGTGGAAAGCCTGGGGTCGCCCCGGCCGGGCCCCGCCTACCTCGGATCACCTCGGGGGCGCTGGTCCCTGCACCGCATCTGTGCCCGGGCTTTTCTATAGAAGGCTCCCGCTGAGCACGTTCCAGGCACGGGACAGCGGAGAATCCCCGACCCGGGGCAGAGAGGGCACGGGAGAGCGGCCAGCTGGGGAGGAGGGTAGAGAAGCCGAATGGAGACGGCCGGTGTTCTCTGGGTGGATGGGGGCACTTGGTCCAGGCCTAGGGCACCGTTAGGGCAGGGCGGGCGGCTCAGGGAACCTACAGCGGAGGTGATGCGCCCCCGGGAGGCGGGAAGGGCGGGGCAGAGAATGCGCAGAACTTTTCCGGGGGGAGGGACCTAACACCCGACTCGTCGATGACCCAAATCCTGGGGTCCCTGACAGCCACAGTGAGATCTGGTGCCAAGCCGGGGAAGAAAACGGGCGGAGTCAGCTCCCCGCCCCCACTCCGAGGGGTGGTCCTAGGGAAAAACGGGCCTTGCCGGGCCCTCCTGAGAGACCATCTCCTCTCCCTTGCCTCGCGGTCTTAGCGCTCCCACTCTGCGCCCCAGCAGCTCCGAACTCAGCTCTACCAGCCCCACACCCTCTCTGGTTACGCTCAGGGAGCATCTGTGCAAAGGATGCATAAACCAGTGAATGGAGAATCGGGAAGGACTGGGAACAATGCCAACCTCCCAGTCGCCCTCCAGGTCCTAATCCCCAACCAAGCGCTTCCAGGAAGAAGCCCAGGTGCGCTGAGCACACGGGTGGTCCCGACCTACTGGGAGCGAGTCTTCACACCGCAGGATCCCAAGCTGGGAGGGTCCCGGCCCCAGGTTGGCCTGCTCAAATTGGGTGGGCGGGGTCATGCCCCGGATGATGCAAGGGGCAAGACGAGGAGCCAAAGCTGACACTTGGGTCTGCAGACCCTTAGGACAGAGCTATTTCAGCCACCGTGAGAGCGTGGCCCAGAGTGTCCACCAAGCCCACACCTGGGCAGTGTTGGGGTGAAGATACCAGGGTGCTGAGGCCCAGCGGAAATCTGTGAGGCTGCGAAGGAGGCATCATACAAACTACATCATCTGAAAATCGGACATTAAATTTAGATGTGGTTAAATAGTTTAAACAAATATGCTTGGAAACTAAATAGCAACCTACTAAATAGCTCTGGGAGAAAAAGAAAATCATAAAGGGCTCTGTAACATACTTGGAATTGAAAGAGAATGAAAACACTTTACAGGATACTTAGAAAAATTAATATGTATATTATATATATGTGCTTCTGTATATGTTAATATAAGTATACAGGCATACCTTGGAGATATTGCAAGTTCGGTTCCAGACCACTGCAATAAAGTGAACATGGCAATAAAACAAATGAATTTTTTGGTTGCCCAGTGCATATAAAAGTTATGTTTAGAGGGGTGCCTGGGTGGCCTGGTTGGTTAAGCTTCCGACTCTTGATTTTGGCTCACGTCATGATCTCAGGATCCCAAGATCCAGCCCCGTATGGGGCTGCTTAAGATTCTCTCCCTCTCTGAGCACATGGGTGCCTCAGTTGGTTGAGTGTGCAACTCTTGATTTTGGCTCAGGTCATGATCTCACGGTCCTGGGTTTGAGCCCCACGTCAGGCTCTGCACTCAACAGTCTGCTGGAGATTATCTCCCTCTCCCTCTGCTCCTCACCCTGCTCTTGCTCTCTCTCTCTTTCTCTAAAATAAAGAAAATATTTTTAAAAATTATCTCTATCTCCCTCTGCACCCTGTCCCTTCTAGTGCTCTTTATCAAAACAAAAAGATCCTTTGGGGGGGCACCTGTGTGGCTGTCGTTAAGCGTCTGCCTTCGGCTCAGGTCATGATCCCGGGGTCCTGGGATTGGGCCCCGCATCGGGCTCCCTGCCCTGTGGGAAGCCTGTTTCTCCCTCTCCCACTCACCCTGCTTGTGTTCCCTCTCTCGCTATCTCTCTCTGTCAAATAAATAAATAAAATCTAAAAAAAAAAAAAAAGATCCTTTGGGGAGCTTGGGTGGTGCAGTTGGTTGAGCATCCAACTCTTGGCTTTGGCTCAGATCATGAGCCCAGGGCCGTGGGATCGAGCCCCCTCTGCATGGAGTGGTCTTGAGACTCTCTCTCCCTTTATTCCCCCCCCACTGACATGCACTCTGTCTTTCTCAAAAAGTAATCTTTTTTTTAAGAAGTTATGTTTATGTGGTAGTCTATTAAGTGTGCAGTAGCTGGGACGCCTGGGTGGCTCAGTTGGTTGGGCGACTGCCTTCGGCTCGGGTCATGATCCTGGAGTCCCATGTCGGGCTCCCTGCTCGGCAGGGTGTCTGCTTCTCCCTCTGACCCTCCCCCCTCTCATGCTCTCTGTCTCTCATTCTCTCTCTCTCAAATAAATAAATAAAATCTAAAAAAAAAAAAAGTGTGCAGTAGCGTTATATCTAAAAAAAGCAACATACACACTTTAATTTTAAAATGTTTTATTGCTGGGACACCAGGGTGGCTTAGTTGAGTGTCTGCCTTCCACGTGGGTCATGATCCCCTCCCTCTACCTGCTACTTACCCTGCTTGAGCTCTCTCTGACAAATAAATAAATAAAATCTTTAAAAAATATCTTATTGCTAAAAATTGCAAATCATTATCTGAGCTTTCAGCGAGTTCAATTACTGGTCACAGATCACCATAACAAATACAATAATAATGAAAAAGTTTAAAATATTTTAAGAATTGGGACACCTGGGTGGCTCAGTCATTAAGCATCTGTCTTAGGCTCAGGTCATGATCCCGGGGTCGTGGGGTCGAGGCTCCCCCACCCCGGCCCCGAATTGGGCTCCCTGCTCAGTGGGGAGCCTGCTTCTCTCTCCCTCTCCCACTCCTCCTGCTTGTGTTCCCTCTCTAGCTGCCTCTCTCTGTCAAATAAATAAATAGATAAATAAGTAAAATCTTAAAAAAAAATTTTTTTAAGAATTATCAAAATTTAGGGGCACCTGGGTGGCTCAGTCAGTTAAGCGTCTGTCTCCGGCTCAGGTCATGATCTCAGGGTCCTGGGACTGAGTCCTGCATCGGGCTCCCTGCTCAGCGGGGAGTCTGCTTCTCCCTCTCCCTCTGCCCCTCCCCCTGCTCTTGTGCTCTCTCTCAAATAAATTTTAAAAAATCTTTTTAAAAAAAGAATTATCAAAATGTGACAGAGACACAAATGAGCGAATGCTATTGGAAATAGGGCACCAATAGACTTGCTCAACTCAGGGTTGCCACAAACCTTTAATTTATAAAAAACACAGTATCTGCAAAGCACAATAAAACAAGCTATGCCTGTTTACATACATATATAACCTTCCAGCATATATATTCAGCTACTAAAAGCATGCATGAAGAAGTGATTTATCTTTTCTCACTTAAATTTTGTTAGGTTTGTCTCGACATGTATATTTTACTTCATTTTTTGTTTTGCTTTGTATATATATAAGAATTAACTTTTACTCCAACTTTACCCCAGGTATTAGCTGGGCTCTTTTCTGCTTAGAGATACAGGCCTGAATACCACCCGTCCCACAGCTTTTGGATATCCCAGGAATTTTTACCGGTTTTCATGCACATTTTTTAAAAAAACATCATTTAAAAAAGTAGATACATAGAAAGGAATTACAAATACGTTCAGCATACTGCACGATGAATTTTCACACACTACCCTATAAAACTAGTACCCATTTCAGCAAGCTGATTTTGCCCAGAGACCTCAAAGCCTTGTGGGGCTCTCTTCTGGTCGCACTCAGATGACCTTTCCTTGTTGGTGCCCAAGTGTAGCCACTCTGACTTCCTTAGCCCTGATGATTTTTGTAGGCGCACTTTATGTCCTTTGTGTATATTCACTGATTTAACTCACAATAACCCTATGAAAGATAGTATTATTGTTCCCATATAAAAGAGAATGAATAGTGTTCTGTTAAGGGCAACTGATGCTGGGCGTGGGGAGTCAAGTGGAACAAGACAGGAGAGGTTCATGGGCACACGTTTATACCAAATTATTCTTCTGTGTATGTAACAAGAAACATTTTCTTTTTAAATAGGCTCAATGCCCAATATGGGGCTTGAACTCATGACCCTGCGATTCAGAGTCGCATGCTCTACCCACTGAGCCAGCCAGGCACTGACCCCTCTTTTTTAAAAAACAACTTTAAAAGGAAAGAAAGAATTTCTTTTTCTTTCTTTCTCTTTCTTTCAAGAGAGAGCATGAGTGGGAGGGGCAGAAGGAGAAGGAGAGAGAATCTCAAGCAGACTCCATGCTGAGTGCAGAGCCAGATACAGGGCTTGATCTCATGACCCTGAGATCATGACTTGAGCTGAAATCAAGAGTTGAACATTTAACCGACTGAGCCACCCAGGTGCCCTGGAAATAAAGAATTTCTGAGAATAAAGTTTGAATCGCTGGGAAGAGGTGGCCTTCGATGGTTAGAAAAGGGTGGTGGGCTCACCAGCAGGAGCAAAGGTACCTTGTGGGGAGGGTCCCATCTGATGGTAGAGGCAGGTGGGCCCCTCTTGGAGGCCTGAGAACCCCATGCCCAGTGTGGCTGTCCCTAGAGAGGCCCCCAACATCAGGTGACCCAGATTTATGGAGTCCCTGCTGTGTGCCAAGCTTGCTGGCCTCTCACATGGAGGTTGACATTCAGGCTAGTGAGATGGAGCCAAGTCAGAGGTCTCTGGACTTTGAAGGGGGGGGACACACCAGCCAGGAACCCCATCTCTGCAAGGACAGATGCACTGAGCATGAGGCAGGGCACCTCCAAGAGCCCCAGCACTGGCTGCCCTCCCTTAAGTCCATGCCTGCCATATCCAGGTAGGCCTTCAGGAGGAGCCCAAGCACACAAGCCCCCTGGAGCAGCACTTCTTGAGGGTTCCCTGGTCCCAGCTGCGAGACATCCCTTGGAACTCGGGCTGGCATTGCGGACCATTTCACCGCAGACTGTGGCACTGACTGATGTAGGAAAGATAGGGTTCGAAGCCGAAGGCCAAGAAAGAATTCTTGAGACATCTTTGGTGCAAAAAGGTGGTTTTATCAAAGCACAGGGACAGGACCGATGGGCAGAAAGAGCTGCACTGGAGGCAGAAGGAGTGGCCCCTTATATACTGTCAAGTTGGGAGGGGGTTAGAGATAGCCTAAGTCTCTAAGGAATTTTGGAAGCAAGGTTTCCAGTACCTTGAGGGGGGTCCTGCTTGTAGAGAGAGCTCAAGCAGGGTAAGTAGCAGGTTGGGAAAGGGTAGTAGCTATTGTTGGGAAAAGGTCATTTATTACTGTCTAATAAAACCTCAGTCATGAGACCCTTCAGATGTATATCGGTGGGTCATATGCTTATGGGGGGGTGATTGCCAACATGTATCTTGGGGGGTAGAGATAAAGGAAGTTTCCAAAGGCATTTTTTTTAAGATTTTACTTATTTATTTAAGAGAGACAACCAGAGAGAGAGAGCACAAGCAGGGGGAGTAGCAGAGGGAGAGGGAGAAGCAGGCTCCCTGCTGAGCAGGGTGCAGGACATGGGGCTGGATTCCAGGACCCCAAAATCATGACCTGAGCCAAAGGCAGACACTTGACTGAGGAACCCAGGCACCCCTCCAAAGACATTTTTATAGGTTAAAGTAGACTGACAAGATCCCGGGGGTTGGGCTAAGATTGCCTTTTGCCTTTAGCAAGGTATTAACATTGAGGCAGCTGAGCTCCTAGAGGAATATCACTCTGCCTGTTTTAAACACTTGTCAATGGGCTGTAGGTAGTAAGGAAATTTAGTAATTTTTCTTCTGCCTTTGTTTCACACATTACTGACCATCTACCAATGGCAAGGCTCTGAACACTCGTCCTGCAGTGGGCCTGGTTAGTCACCTTCCGGCTGCATCCAGCTCCAGGAAAGGGAGAGTAGAGGGCCTCTCCCCCCCCCATATCCCATCGCAGAGACCCATGGGACCTTCTTCGGGACCCCCCAGTCTGAGTGTCCAAGTACTGTCCCCACCTCCATTCCACTCTCTCTCTGCCTTTCTGGTCCTCTGCGCCTATCCCAGGCTGACCTCAAAACCCCTCATCCTGCCCCAAGGAGGCCCAGGTGCCCCTCAGCCCCCGGCCCTGCCTGGGCTGTGCCTGATCTCCCATCCCTGCCAACCCATCTGCTGCCTCTCTTGGGGCCTCACCAGTCCGCTCTGCTCCTCTGTAGCTTCAGCATGTGGCCACATGGCCCCCCCTTCTTACCTCTTCTTACCTTCCCACGATGCCAT